CCTCTTTGAGAAGTGACATGATGACCGAAGATTTGACTTAAAGTCATGCAAGACTATTGTGCATGGCTTTTACTTTCCCAGGAGGGAAAGATCACATTGCAATAGCATGGGTCCAGGAAGGTCTCATGGGAGGCTGGAAATGAGCCAGTGGTTGAGTGACGAATAGGTGCAGGAAGGAAGAAGAGGGAGGGAGGGAGGAGACGTGGGGAGAAGAGACGGGCACTTGAAGCAGGAATTATACTGTGGTAAGATTCGGAGGCATGCGGTTGGAGGGAGACCTGGAAAGAAGTGTCCAGGGGTAAAGGCTGGTGAGTCATCAGCAGAAAGACCGAGGTGAGGCCTTCACAAGGCCCCAGGGGGGACAGAGTGTTCCATCCTGTGTCTTGGACTCCAGCCCCGGTGGGTAGGGACCACCGGGTAGTGAGCCCCTGAGGGTAGGGACCACGTGTGCCTTTTCCCCCATTGTTTCCAGAGCCAAAAGGAAGGCCTGACACAAACCCTCCATGAATATTTATTGAATAGATGAAAAGGAGAAAAATCAGCACTCTGTGAATGATGGCGATACTAACGAAGGGGAGAGACCCCAAAGGAATATGCTCGAGTTTTACCAAGAGATGGAGGGGGGAGGATTCAGGGATTCCTGGGGAAATGGAGCTATGCAGCAGGGAACACGAAGAGGTGCAGGGCCGAGCAGAAGGAGACGCTGTCTAAAAGGACCAGGGTCGGGGAGAGTCCCTGACTGCAGGCCCACCAGGAGGGGCAGAGGGATGGAGAGCACTGATGAGCACTGATGCTGGGAAGATGGGGCACGGTTTCCACTGAGACAGAAACAGCCTGGGAATAAAGGCAGGCAGCCTGGCCTGGGCACAGAGAGCAGGAAATGAGCGGGTGGTAACATGGGTTAGCAACCCCAGCTGGCCCCTGGTCTCTCAACCAAGAGGCACAACTGTCTTCTGAGAATAGGTTCGGGAAAAGGGGAGGAGCAGAGAACCCCAGGGCCTTCAGCAGAGCCAAGCAGCCTCCCAACCAGCTGATGGGAATGAGCCAGAGCGTGATCCTAACACTGATGCCCACAGTCCAACTCAGTACAGGCACCGTGACTGCAGCCCAGAGCTGTCACAAGAGGAACAAAAGTCACCAACTGCCCAGTATGGCTACAAAGAGCCTGAAACTTCTCCCCAGTGACCCATCTAGACCAGCCTCTCGGTGACTTATTCACAAGGTGAGCGTGCTAAGTCGTTTCAGCCATGTCCGACTCCTGGCGACCCCATGGACTGGAGCCTGCAGAGCTCCTCTGCCCAAGGGATTCTCCAGGGAAGAATACTGGAGTGGGTTTCCATTTCCTTCTCTGTCTTCTTCAGAAGGACCTAGCCCCAAATCAGCTGGGTGACAAGGAGGCAGACTGGTTTCCTGATGCTTTTGAGCATCAGGGGGCTTTAAATAAAAGATGAGGGAGGCCTCACTAGACTGCAGATTCTGTATCCAAGCCTGAGTAGGAGCATCTTTATTCAGCTCTTCCAGAATCCCTGGAAAGGCCGAGTACATTCCAAATAAAGACAATGCCATATGCAGCGTGCTCAGGGACACAGGTGAAAGGCTGCGAGCATCTGATAACGAATGGTACTGGGTGATCCCTAAACATCCTAGCAACTCTGACACACCATGAAAAATTCTATGGCCCAGACTGAAGACAGCGAGAAGCAGGAAGAAGAGCAGCATCTTTATCACTCCAGCCGGAGAGGTCCCACCTGATTATGATAAACATGTGTGTAAAGAAAAGAAAAGCATTTTTGTGCTAAATCCATCACTAGGGGACTTGCGGAAATGAAGCCTGAAGTCAGGTAGCTGTGTGCCTATGATGTCTTCCCACGGTCCACATTGCTAAATGAGATGAGGAAGAGAATCAGACAAGAGAGGCCCCCCTGGGGGGCCCCTGAGATATGAGCATTTCTCTTTGCTTAATCCCCTGCTTCTTGCCATCACCCCCAAAGGAGTGACCCCGGCCCCGTCTGCAGCATCGTAAACGCCCGCTGCTTGTTTATCCGCCCAGGCGCATGTGGTTTTAATTATTTATGATGGTGTCTCCTCGCACACGGGGATGTGTCTTGGAGCCCCTTGCCTTTGACTGATGAAGGCTTTGTAATCAGAGACCTGCTGTTTCCCAGCCCGTAAACCTCAGCGAGGAGAGGGCCAGGGGCTCCCCTCCCCGACAGTGTGAGTCAGCCACAGATTCACAGGGGGAGGATTAACCAAATCCTGTTACAAGGCTCCTGAACATTGTTTGTCCTGCCACACGTGTTTTCTGAAAACAATTAAGAGCCGTCTGCTGTCTACTGACGGGACACAACGTGCTGCTTCCCTGAAAAGGGCATCCCCCCTAACTATCGGAGGGTTTGGATGATCTGGAGTCAGTGAGGGATTCTACTCTGTGAGGTCTTGTTTGTGCTCTGCCCCCTCAAGTCTTGTCGCTAAACCTGCTTTCTCGCTGTCTCTGCTGACCCCGTTGTTTATACAGAGAAATGCTGTCAGAACCATAGAGAGGCTGCCTGCCTTGAGTCACAAACCCAAGGAGTTTCGGGGATGCTTCTCCGCTGCACCAGTTCCTAGGGTGACAGCTCCCTGGCTGGGGGCTGGGTCTTGACCTCAAAGGACATTCAGACCCCACAGGTCTCTCCACGGTGCCAACTTATTCCAACAACCTAGAAGAAGCCGCCTTCCCACATATCAGATTCTCCCCATGTGGACACCGAGTCACTCCCCCTGGGAACAGGAGCCCACGTGACCCTCCTCTACCCTGAGACCCAGAGCTCCCACTAACAGGAACACAACCCATCCTCATTTTTCCTGGGTTCTGCCTTCACGAATTCATCTACTTGCTACAATTGATGTGTAACCCCACAAACCCACATGCACGGCGCTTTCACAGCCATTCACAAGCATTTAAGGAGTCACCCACCCACATGCACGTTCCCAATTAAGGCTAAAAAGCCATGCTCTCTGCCTTCTTGTTGTGGCTCCTGCTGTAGACAAGTATCCTTCTCATGGTTTATTCAATGCCACTTTCATTGCATATTTGTGTTTTCTGTGGACGAGTTCACTGTTTAAAGCTGCCCCCAAGCAGAGTGCTGAATCGAGGTCTACCGTTTTCCATGAGTGTGAATGCTATGATGTGCCGTATGGAGAAAACAGGTGTGTTTGATAAGCTTGGTCCAGGCATGAGTCACGGTGCTGTTGGTCACTATGAGCTCAATGCTAATGAATCAATAATATGTACTAAAGTATCCTCAAACAGAAGCAAATGCAATACAGGTTATGTCTTGATCAGCTGATAAAAAGGTTGTGGCCAGAGGCTCACAAGGAACCTAACCCTGGATTTCCCCAGTAACAATGGTCCAGGGTTTGCTAATTTCATGTTCATGGTGATTTTATAGGATCCTCAAAATAAGGAGAACCAGTTGCATATTCAACACAGCAGTGCCAAGCCTCTATTCAAGTATCAACATCACTCTAGAAAACTCAGCAATGCCAACCCCAGACTAAGCTCGGACTCACGCGAGCATCATGGAAGGACTTTCCTCATGGCCACACTCAGGTCAGTCGAGGATGATCCTGATCTGAGGCGAAAGGTTTAAAGCCAGAGTAGAACCATTCTTGACACGATCTTCCCCACTGTTTATCCGAAACACAGGTATCTCTCTTCCCTTGCCCAGCCCTGCTCTAGAACCCAAGTATCCTTCCTCTAACTGGTACTGATCGGGGAGTGCAACAAACACTGAGACAGATTCTAGAGGACTCTCAAGGTTGGGAGGCAAATGATGACCTTGTCCAGATTCAAGTTCAGTCCCTCCCACAGCGGCAATCCTCTCGCTAAACACAGAGCCAGAAAAACAGAAGCGGAGGTGGATGAGGTGGCCGAATGCCTGCTCTGCTATCAGATGGACTAGTGGGAGCAGCAAGAGTTCTGTGAACTAGTTCAGCAAGAGTGCACCCCAAATACAGAGAGCTCCACCAGGGGCATAGCAAGACCAGGGGCGTTTCTTCCTGGGCTGACCTGGACTAGCTGACCGGATGAAGCGAACGGACTGGCAGAAGCCTGTGGGCAGGAGAGGGGGACTCACAGCCTCCCTAAACCTTGGGTTTCCTGTCTGCAGATGAGGCCTTAACCTAACCCATCTCTTCTGTCCCTTCCAGCTCTAAGGCAGTCTCCAGGGCTCCCTCTCTGGACATCACTGACCATTTTGGGGGAGCAGGTGCAATGGGAGTGGAGGGGTGTGCCCCGGGGCCACTGAGCCTAGATTTGAACCTGGGGACACAGCAAGGGGAACACCTGCCGGAAGGAAGGCAGAACCGCCGAGGCTCCAGGGGCCAGGAGAGGCCCTCGCAGACTCAGCAGAAGTACAAAGGGAGGGCCTGAGCCACCAGGAGGTAAGAGGGTAGGAAGCAGGTGCCTGAGCCCTCTAATCTCACATCTATGGTGAGGAGGGGAGGGGTCCGAGCACAGGGTCTCTGATCCGACTCTCAGACTGTACCCTTCGGGGCACTGGAGGGGCAGCTGGAGAGATGTTTCCATTCCAAAGGTACTCACTGCCCTTCCCTCCCTTCCCCTCTTGGGGAGGCATGGGTGGAGGGCCTGACGACCTTGGGGGCCGTAGTCTGGGCACAGATTCCTGCACACACAGGCCAGGTATCTGCAGATACAACCAGCTGTGCCTGTGTCCCCTGCCTTACTGGAAGCCCCTTTCCCAGTGGGGCTGGGCCTGCTGCCTCCAGGCTGATTCGCCTTCCCCTACCCTGAGCCCACTCCTCCCAGGGGCCTCTGGCCCGTGGCATCCCCTTGCCCAGGCTGTTCATTGAGTTTTTAGACAAAGAGGGAGGGTGTCTTAGAGAGTGGGAAGTTAGCAGGTGGTAGGTCACCCCAGAATGCTCCAGAACCCCCGCCTCCATGGCCTATCCGCCCCCCTCCAACCCCAGAAGGGACAAGAGTCTCCCACGGTACTCACATGTGTCTGGCTTGTGGCAGTTATGTCCCTGACGGAAGTACTGGGGATTCTCAATGACTGGGATCCGGGTCATACCGATGACCACCGTGTCTGGCCCAGCATCCAGCGACGAGGGCGTGGTGATGCCATGGTTGATGTGATGCAGGGGGCTAGCCGAGTCCTCCTCGCCACTGATGACAGCCACAGGACCTGCACACCCCAGGAGAGACACAGGACCCGGGTGAAGTCACATCCAGCCAGTGCCCATCCCTGCCCACGGACCCTTCCATTATTTTTTCCCATCATATTTTCCATGAGAGCAAAATGCACTAGAAGGATATTCCTCAAATGCCCTAGATTCTGAATTGACAATAACCCCTTAATTCTCTCTCATGAGAGGGAGAAAACTCTACCCCACCATGCCATGGAAACAGCTTCAAGAGTGAATCTAAATAATAATGACATGATTATTTCCACTTTCTTCCCATCTAAATTAGTTCAAAATAATTAAAAGTTAAATTTCTTCACTTACGTAACAACAACAGGATGTTAAAAAATGACCCAGTGGTAGTATGCACCCTGTCCTTTGTCTCTTCAAGAGCTTTCAAAACTGCTGTCATTGTGGGGACTCCCCTGGTGGTCCAGCAGGACTAAGGCTCTGAGTTCCCAATGCAGGGAGCAAGAGTGCAATCCCTGGGCAGGGAACTGGATCTCATGAGCTGCAACTAAAGATCAACTGACCTGGCACAGTCAAATAAATGAATAAATATTTTAAAAATAGACAATATGTGGACTCTGTGGGAGAAGGCGAGGGCGGGATGTTTCAAGAGAACAGCATCGAAACATGTATATCTAGGGTGAAACAGATCACCAGCCCAGGTTGGATGCATGAGACAAGTGCTCAGGCCTGGTGCACTGGGAAGACCCAGAGGGATGGGGTGGAGAGGGAGCTGGGAGGGGGGACCGGGATGGGGAATACATGTAAATCCATGGCTAATTCATTTCAATGTATGACAAAAACCACTGCAGTGTTGTAAAGTAATTAGCCTCCAACTAATAAAAATAAATGGAAAAAAAAATTAAAAAATAAAATAAAATAAAAATAGACAATAAAGCTATTGATGCTGGGTCCCACTCCCAAAGATTCTGACAAAGTTGGTCTGGGAATGTATCTTGGGCATTACGATTTAAAGAGTTTCCTTGGGAGTCCCACGTCCAGCTAAGTCCCTGGAGGCTAAGAACCTTTCCAGCATGGCCATCAGATTCCTACAGGAGTAGAAAGTAATTTTCTATGGACAAAGAATCTGCCTGTAATACGAGAGACCAGGCTTAATCCCTAGGTTGGGAAGATCCCCTGGAGAAGGAAATGGCAACCTACCCCAGTATTCTTGTATGGAGAATTCCATGGACAGAGGAGCGTGGTGGGCTGCAGTCCATGGGGTCGTAAAGAGTTGGACACAAATGAGAGGCTAACACTTTCACTTGCTCTCAAGCCTCCCTGGCCCAAGACAGGCTTGTATCCTGTCTTGCGTAAGTCCAAAGCAGGCTTGCATCTAACTTGGACCAGCTTTCACAAATGACCACACTGAGGCTGGAACACTATTAGCCTATGTGCAGCTGAGACAGCAGTTCCACTCTTTTGTTGTTTTTTTAAAATTTTTGGCTATGCTGGATCTTTGTTGCTGTGCACCGGTTTTCTCTAGTTGCTGTGAGCGGGGGCTACTCCCTAGTTGCGGTGCTCAGGCTTCTCAATGCAGTGGCTTCTCTTGTTGCGGAGCACAGACTCTAGGCACATGGGCTTCAGTGGTTGTGGTGTACAGGCTTAGCTTCACCAACAGCATGTGGCATCTTCCCAGGCCAGAGATCGAACCTGTGTCCCCCACATTGGCAGAAGGACTCTTAACAACTGGACCACCAGAGCCAAGTCACATGTCCCACTCTCGAGAGCACTGTATTTGCCCCAATGGCTTCAAAGAATACCATTTGCATCTTCACCAACCCCAATGCCACCATTTTCTACCCCAAAGAAAAAGCCTAGGACCTAAGGTGATCTGTGAACACAAGTTGACAAAGATAATGCTGCAATCTTGGTAGAGCAATGATTCTGTTTGCTGGTGCAATTCTCCCCTACGTACAAATAAAACTCCTGTAAAGTGAATTAGCTGTGACTGTTTGTGGCTTTCTACAAGTGGCGTTTTAAATGGCTGCTTTGCAAGACACATGGTCCCAAGACAAAGAACCTGCCGTGATTTGGTTTTGCTGCTCGAACAATATTTCCACTGTAGAAATCCATTACATCTTACTGAAGTTTATGGGAAGAATATTTCCCATCAGATAGCAAGGTGAAACACCAATGAGGCTGAACTAAATGCAAGATGGGTAAATGCAAACTGAGGACCCTGAATTCCACTCCATAAGCACAGACAGGCTTGTTATGATCTGTAACAAATGTCTGACTGTGCTTGGAGACCACTTGAAAAAGTCGCAGGAAGGGGTTGCCGAAATTCTTGCAGCCATCATGTGCCTTGCAGAAAGAGACCAGCTCCTGAAAAGACACTGTAAACGTTTTTGAAACACTTTGGAGTGATTTCCAGTTAAACATGGCTAGAGCACAGGTCTCTACCTCCTCTTCACATTAACATACAAAGGAATTAAATAAATATTGGTGCACAAAAAGGAAGAGGGGAAGCAAGAGGAAATGAGATTTCAACAACGTCTGGGAAGATGAAAAAGCAAAGAAGCAAATCTTGCTTACAAAGAGGAGGAAGATATGAAAGAAAGGACCACAGGGTCTCTGGGAGGGTTAACACATAAATGAGAGCATGCATGCATACAAGTGGACACACACACAGACAAAATTATGAAATGCCAGAATCATAAAGATAAGGAGAAGACGCTAAGAGCTTCCAGGAGGGTGGGACAGGTCATATTTCCAAAGGAACTGGAAACAGAAAGATAGAAAAATTCTCTATAACAACCTTATACTGTTACTCTAACTGAGCAAATTGCTTCAAAATTCTGATGGACAAGTATTCAACCTAGAATTCTATACCTAAAAATGTATTCACCCAATGGAAGGGCAAAAGAGATGTATTTGCAGACATGGAAAAGTTTACCTTGCCCTTTCTTAGGAAGCAGTTGGCAAGTGGAAGCTTCAGCAAAACAAAGGGGCAAAGGAAGAAATAGGGAGTCAGGGATCCAGTTCACCAAAGACCAAGCAACGGAAGGCCCCCAGACCTCAGCTCCTCTGTTCTCAGCATTATAGGATGTGAGTTGTTATGGCAACATGGAGGAAGGGCATCAAGGCAGGAAGAGTTTGGAGACAATAGAACACTGGACATTCAAATCAGCTTTCATCAACCATGGACAAAGCGAGTGGTCAATAAAATGTTTCAAAAGGCTGTGCTCTAAAACAGCATTGACTATTTTGACATTATTTATTCTAGAATTGGAAAAGGGCTTAGGAAAGAGCCATAAGTAGAAGGGTCCTTCTACAGTTGGGTCTCCCAGGTGGCACTAGTGGTAAAGAATCCGCCTGCCAATGCACGAGATGCAGGTTCCATCCCTGGGTCGGGAAGATCCCATGGAGAAAGGAATGACAACCCACTCCAGTATTCTTGCCTGGGAAATCCCATGGACAGAGGAGCCTGGCAGGTTACTGTCCATGGGGTCACAAAAGGGTTCGACACAACTCAGCAATTAAACAACCACAATAAGCCATGGAAAGAGATGGCTGGGGTTGCTCACAAAGACTAGAAAGAAATAAAAGAATAAAGCAGGTTTCAGAGCTCTGGAGGACCAACTACTTAAAATACACACAAAGGAAAGGGAGCTGGAAAAGGGTGAGAAGAAATGCTCAGAAAAGTAGAAAAAAGTGAGAAAAGCCTACTGTCTTTGAAGTCAGTCTGTCTACTATTGAAGGAGAACTTCTAGAAGCCGAAGAGCATTATATACAGAGGACATGTAAGATGAAGAATGAAATCAAGTCACTGCATTTGACAACAAGAAAGTGGCCTTGATGAGAGCGGTTTCCACAGAACAGGGGAAGAAAATGTAAAAAAGTCAAACAGAAAGGGAGATGATGGTAAATAGGAAAGAAAAGGTATGAAAGTTAAAGACTCAATCTAGAGATCCAACATATGACTAAAAGGAGGGAGACAGAAAGAGGAAAAGAGAGATGAAAGACTAGAAAAAAAAAAACTATAGAAAAATTTGCTCAACATACTGTCTACTCAGTTCCCAAAATAATTAACACACACACACACACACACACACACACACACACAGTAGGCTGAGGAGCTAGAAAAATTACCATCCTCATCATCATTTTTATTATTGAATGGTGTATTGGGCTCTGGAAAGTTCACTTCTTTATTTATACTGCCTCTGTGAGGTTGGTACCAATTTCTCCCCATGTTATAGATGGGAGCATGGAGGCATAGAGCAGTGATGTGCCCAAGGACACACACTAGTGAAAAAGTGGTGATGCTGGAATTCAACCCAATTATCTGGTCCCAGAGCCTGTGCACCATTCCATAGCGCTGCCTCCTTGAAGGTACAGACTGAGAAAACGGATTTGTTCAAAGGACATTTGATCAATTCTGCTTCATTCTCCTGCTTACGAGCAGCTGCTTTCAGATGCAGGTCCCTGAGACCCTTTTTTAAAGACGTCCCTCTTGAACCTTGAGAATGGGGACCAGAGTATGTCGCCTCATTAGACTCACCCAGACAGATTACAGATAATTCATCATCTCCCCCTCTCCCCAGGGCTGTGAGCACTCTTATTCAACTTCACCCGCATCGGAAAGAGCACAGTGCCGTCAGTCGGCTGTCCAGCCCTCAAGGCCCTCTTACTCACCTCTGCTTGGCCATAAACCACACTCCTTGACATATAAGCCAATCAAGAGCCCACAGACCCATCCCCTCCAAGGATGTGAGAGGCAAAGCCTGCAGCTTGCTCCTGCTTGCCTGCGCCCACTCCAGCGTTGCTTCCCAGTAGGGCTACAGCTGGTGCTGAGCTAGGTAAGTCCTCCTTGAAGAGGGCTGTTCTGGGCACGGCAATATATGTGGCATCCTTGGACCTGGGCATGACAAGCCAGTCTCATGTTCATCCACTGTAATGAAGGGACCACTCTGGGAGGGGGTATTGCTAGTAGAGGCCATGTATGTGTAGGGGCAGGGAATATACTGGAACTGTCTGCATCTTCCCC